ACTATGTCATCTACCGTGGGAAATTACTTGTCTTCCACCACCTCCACTCCTTCTTCAAGAAGGGGCACGTCAGTTTCCGGCACCGGAGCTTCAACAACTCTATCAGTCTGGAAAGGAGCACCAGCCATTTGCCTTCTTTGATTGAAATAAACAAGGATGACGAAGGGAGAATGGGTAATAGTCATAGTGAACTCTAGCGGAAGCAGAAGAATGGGAAACAATAGAAGGGGAAAGAAATTTGCAAAGTTGACTGATAATTGAAAAGTGCAACAATTAAATAGAGGGTTTCTCCCTTATTTATAGAGACATAAAGGCCTTGAGCGGGAAAATCAAGAGCCGCCAATCAAAAAACGAAAAGGGCACAGGAAACGATACGGTGCCTGGGAAACGTGCGCCATGATAACGCATAATAAGCATTCATGATATCATGAATTGATGTGGCAATCCAACTCTAAACTGGTGTAACAGTCCAATGAGGTTCCTGGATCGTCACGTCATTACCTCGTTATAAGGACCTCGACCCTTGCATAATGATCAGATTTCTCCCAACTTTTGAATCAACGGAGTCCGCCCATCGGGCTCGCCAAGAGGCGACCCCAACAGGCGGAGGGACTAACTGCATGTGTCAAAATCTGACCACAAGTGGATTACCATTAAGGGGAACAATAAGGGGTCGATCAAGCCATGGACGTACCCGTAAGGCGTAATGGCGACGAGCGTCTCGGCCACTGCCGAGATCGAGCCATCGAGAAGACTTGCAAAGCAGAATATATGTGGTCGTGCTTGAGCAAGTAAAGAGGAAGATAGTCGAGAAGGAGTATGCAGGTCAAAGACCGTTGGATAAAGGGGAAGTTAGGTAGTATATATATGGATAAAAGCAAAAAGCAAGGGGGATCCGAGAAGGAAAAAAGAAACAGAAGACTCGGAGGAGACCTCTGAGTAACAAAGCAAGAAGTCTGGATTACGGGTTACAAACCTTTGTAAACACCATGGTTGAGTCAATAAAGCTAGATCTCATAGTTATCAAAAAGATTCCTGTGACGACCCGACCCGTCGTCTCATGTGTTACTGCTCCGTTTTCCCCATTTTTATGCTTCTTCATGTTTCGTTATCGGTATGTGGTGTGTTAGAGTTGATTCGGATTGGTTTTGATAAGAAATGAGACACTTAGTCTCTTTAAGGAAGGCTTAAGTTGGAAAAGTCAACCGGACGTTGACTTAAGAGTTATAGGGCTCGGATGTGATTTCCGTTGATTCGGTTAGCTTCGGGAGGTGATTTGTGACTTAGGAGTGCGATCGGAATTGAATTTGGAGGTCCGGTGTAGAATTAGGCTTGAATTGGCGAAGTTAGTATTTTGGCGAATTCCGGTTGATAGGTGAGATTTTTATCCGAGGGTCGGAATGGGATTCCGAGAGTTGTTGTAGCTTCGACATGTGATTTGCGATGTGCGTGCAAAATTTCAGGTCATTCGGACGTCGTTTGGTCGGGTTTTTGATCGAAAGTGTATTTCGGAAGTTTTTAAAAATTTAGGCTTGAATTCGATGAGTTTTGGGTAATTTGATGTTGTTTGAGGTGCTTTGATGATTGGAACAGGTTTGAATAATGTTATGAACTATGTTGGCATGTTTGGTCGGGGTCCCATGAGGCTCGGATAAGTTTTGGAAGAGTTTTTGGAAGATTTTTGCCGTTTTGAGCATAAACATGTAATGATCTAAAGGTTCATTTTTAGTTCTAGAGATCCAAATTTGATTTCTAGACTTCCAGAATTTTGATAATGAATTATAGGACTGATCTGGAAATTTTGGTCTAATTTCAGCAAGTCGCGATTGGGTTTTTGACGCGAAATGTGAGTTAATTGTTTAACGAGCGAAATGGGTATTGAACTGGGCAAATGAGTTCCGAATTGAGTTTCGGTTGAAGGGTTGTGTTCGTATTATTATTTGTGACTCATAGGAACAAGAATCGTCTAATTCCGAGTTCGTATGACGGAGTTAGAGCCATTTTAGTGAAACAAAAACTGCTGCAATTTATAGGGCAGTTGCTGGGTTTTTTTTTAAGCGCGTGAACAGTACCGCGCGCGTGAACAGTACCGCACGCGTGAACAGTAATTCCGAAAAATTCTGGGCAGTGAGTTTATATCCACGATTTTGGGTCATTTTTCCTCCATGGTTGATGATTTTGAGAGCTTCTTGGTGGAGATTAAAGAGGGATTCAAGGGGGAACGACTTGAGGTAAGTTTCTTGAACTTAAAACTCAATTTTATGATGCTAATACATGGATTAGAGCTGAAAACTCAAGTAATTTATGGGCAAAAATGGTGGTTTAGGGCTTGAAACTTAAGAGAGTTAAAATGGAGATTTGAGGGGTCATTTGAACTCCGATTTTGGTAAATTTGATATGTACGGACTTGTGGCGAGACGAGGAATCCGGTGATGTAAATTTCGTAATTTTTCGAGAAGTGGGCCCGGGGCTCGGGTTTTGCCAACTTCGTGATTTTTGATATTTTTCGAGTCTTTTCGATTGGGTTATGATTCATTAGCCTATTGTGACGTATTCCTTGTGGTTTTGGTTAGATTCGACGCGTGTGGAGGTCGGTTTGAGGGGCAAAGGCGTCGCGAGCTAGAGATTTCACCGGTTCGAGGTGAGTAATAATTTTGAATGACGTCCTGAGGGTTTGAAACCCCGGATTTGCACAACTTGGTGCTATGTTGAGATGAGACACGCGTTCCATGACGAGCGCGGGGTCATTTACTATTGGGGACTGTGACTTGGTCCAGTCCGGATGATATTTTACCGCGTATTAGCAATGACTTGTTGTTTTCACTATGATTTGGGCTTATTGCCATATTTGGGGCTTATTGCCGACTGTTTGAACTCTTTATGAACTATCATCACTGTTTTCCTCACTGTTTGAAATATTATTTGAACTCAGTCCATGTGATTTACACTGTTTCTTGAACTCAGCCATATTTACTCAAACTTGGAGTTTTAAACTGATATTTGAACTATTGTTTGAGCTGTGTATTATTGCTTTACTGTTGCCCGAGGGGCTGTTGACTATTTATGGACTGATTGAGGCCGAGGGCCTTATGTGAGGGCATGATGAGTGAGGTGAGGAGGCTTTCAGGCCTCGTATTGATACTGTTCAGGCTTTCAGGCCTTGTTGATAGCGCTTGGGCTGTAGGAGCCCCTCCGGAGTCTGCACACCCACAGTGAGCGCGGGTACCCATTTAGAATTGGACAGTGGTAGCAATGACACTGTCATACGTGTTTTGGTCAGGTAACAATGACTGACCAGTCAGGTAACAATGGCTGACCAGTGGTAACAATGGCACTGAAAAACGCGTTGGGTCAGGTAACAATGGCTGACCAGTCAGGTAACAATGGATGACCAATGGTAACAATGGCACTGAAACACCCGTTGGGTCAGGTAACAATGGCTGACCGGTCAGGTAACAATAACTGACCATAATTGAGCATAGTTGTTTTATTAATTGTTTTCAAAGAGAATTTCTAGCTATGTTTCACTGGTTCCTACTGTTTACTTGATTTTACTGTTTGAGATAACATTTTCTGTGCCTGTGTGGGATTTTATATTCTCAGTCGTTATTCATTTTTATTGCTCACTGGGTCGGAGTACTCACATTACTCCCTGCACCGTGTGTGCAGATACAGGCATAGCAGAGTTCGTTCCTAAGCGCTAATTTCCATCCAGACCAGGCGGACCCGGAGAGACGAGGCAGCTGTCAGCGTCCACAGCCCCGTTTCTTCTTTATTATCTGTACTTCGTTTATCTTCGGATTATGTTCTTAGATACAGTCTTGTAGTAGATATTAAACTCTGTAGTGGCTCATGACTTGTGACACCCCGATTGCGGGCTGGATTTGGGTTGGCATCCTTGTTATCGCGGTTATTCCGTAATATTGGTTACGATATTCCTGCTTTAAGCTTATTTATGATTAATAACTGTTAGATATTTGAGGAGTTAATGTTCTGTTGGCTGGCCTTGTCTTCACGAGAGGCGCCATCACGACCCAGTGGGTTTGGGTCGTGACAATTCCCTCTTTATCTCCTTTGCTTTGCAAATACAGAACAATATATCAAAGATGTAAGCTTATCATTTATGATTGATGTCTTTTAATCATTCTCAGAAACTTTACATAAACTAAACCTCATTTGATTTTAGTATCCAATATGCTTAGATCTAAACGTTGATTATGTTTGGCTAAGATTTAGTCTCTATTTCATCATTAATTGATTTAACTGAAAGGTTCAATACTTTTTGGCCAAACATAAACCATATTGGTTTAGAATATAATTTCTTGCTTTCCTTCTTCTTCTTTTCGAGCCGAGGGTCTCCTACACCACACACGTCGGGAATATACTGGGTATATTATTGTTGTTGTTGACTAATAGCCTATTTGGTCAAGCTTCTTTTTGGCCAAAAGTGCTTTTTTTTGGCCAAAAGCACTTTTGGCCAAAAATTGAGGTGCTTGGCCAAGTTTTTGGAAGGAAAAAAAGTGCTTTTGAGGAGAAGCAGAAGCAGTTTTGGAGAAGCAGAAAAAAGTAGTTTCTCTCCAAAAGCACTTTTTTGAGAAGCACTTTTGTGAAAAATACACTTAGAAGCAGTTTTTTAAAGCTTGGCCAAACACTAATTGCTGCTCAGAAGTGCTTTTCAAACTAATTAGCCAAACACAAACTGTTTCTCACCAAAAGTACTTTTGGGAAAAGCACTTTTGAAAAAAAGTACTTTCTCAAAATAAGTTGAATTTTGCAGTTTGGCCAAACGGGCTATAAACCATATTAAAAGAAATTCTCACTTCCAAAATGCATTAAAAATCCAAATTATGGCTTTTTCTTTTGTCTCGTGGTGAAAGAAAAAACTTTTCGTCCAAAAATTCTGAAAGAGGCATACACGTGTCGCTTGGGAAGGGCTAGCCCGTAAAGCAGATGAAATATAACAAAGTGTCAAAAGGTAACCAGAGTGCATAGGCTACAGATTTGCTGATTAGCCCCATCGGACCCAAAGGTTTAAGGAGGGTTTATAAAGTCGGTTTACTTCTATTGCTACCTCCCTGAAAGATCAAATATCAAATTCCCCTATTTTTCCTCTACTTACCCTTCAGGCTTCAGTCTCATGAATTTCTGCGCTTCTACTGATCCATCAATTCACTTCTCTCCTATATTTTTTCCAACCTAAATTTTTCTGAACAAATTTGATGTCCAGCACTAAAACCCCCATTTCCCTTACCATCAAATTAAACCAATTCACTGATAAACCCACAGGTTTAGCTATAAACCCATATCACAATTCCCCTATTATGTGGAGAAATATAATCAAACAGCTCTCTTCAAGAACCCCACAAAAGCTTCTTTTTAGCTCCAAGAATCGTACTTATAGCTTTCTTGGTTTTCGTCAAGATTCAATTTTTAAGGACAATACGAAATTTAGATCCTTAATTCCAATTTCTTGTTCAAATATTGAGATGGGGTTTCAGAATCTTGGCGAAAATTTGCCCGGGGATGAGTTTTTGAGCAGACCCTTAATAAAAAACCAAGTGAATAACAATGATTTTTGTTATTTTTGTTTTAGAAAGAGCTATGCTAGTGTAGCTGAGGCTGTAGCAGTATCTTCCACTGATGCTGAAGAAGATGTGCCTGTGGTTGATGAAGTTCAAGAACTTTTAACAGAATTGAAGAAAGAAGAGAAAAAGCAGTTTGCTTTTAGGCGCCGGAAGCAAAAGATGTTGACTAGTGGTATGGGCCATAGGAAGTATCAAGCACTTAAGAGGAGGCAAGTTAAAGTAGAGACGGAGGCATGGGAACAAGCAGCAAAGGAGTATAAGGAGCTTTTGTTTGATATGTGTGAGAAGAAATTAGCACCCAATTTGCCTTATGTGAAGTCATTGTTTTTAGGATGGTTTGAGCCATTGCGCGATAAGATAGCTGAAGAGCAGGAATTATGTAGTCAAGGGAAGAGTAAAGCAGGTTATGCTAAGTACTTTTATCAGTTACCTGCAGATATGATGGCAGTTATCACAATGCATAAGTTGATGGGATTGTTGATGACGGGTGGTGACCATGGTACTGCACGAGTGGTACAAGCTGCGCTTGTTATTGGTGATGCAATCGAACAGGAGGTTAGTTAGTCTGGAGCTTATCTGTTGCTGTTAGCTAATCTCAGTTGTAACTAAATGAAATTTCTCTGTGTGAAATAGAATACACAAATTTTTGCATCAAACTTGCTGCATTATGAATTTTCTCTAAGTATTTCTTCTGTGTTATTCAGCCCCTCTTCTTTGGTGTAGTTCATGTGGAACTGCCAAAGCTTGAACTGAAAGTGGGAGGATCCTTAAATCGCATATGGGAAAATATATATGAATGTAATAGAAATTCCATTTTGGTCAAAGGGAAATAGTAATCTAGGCTGGACTGACTTCCATCATGATTAATTAAGGGACTCTTTAAGCATCTAAAAATGTGAAGGCAAATTATATTGAAGTCTTTTCAGCATTCTATATGTCTGTTTAGTAATCATTGTCAACAAGAAAATAGCTAAGTTGCAATCTAGTGACATCAAATGCTTGCACGATAGTATCATTGTAAATTTGACGTAATTGGCATAAAAGTACTTTACTGGGTTGATGTTGTTGTTTGTATGATATAGGGCAAACAAATAAGTCAATGCTACCAGTTTGAATATTATGGTGCAGAAAATTCCGCTTGCCTTGTTGAAACTGTCAGTGTAGTTCCAGGGAAAAAATTGAATGTTAATTTTCACCTGCTTTGATTTTAGCTGGATGTAGCTCAGCAGGTTCATGTGTATGGGAGCATATTATACTGGAAAAAAATATGATTACCTTAGTAAATATTGCTAACATTTTTCATGTGATTGTTTTTAGATTCCGTCACTCCTATCAAATGGCAGACTAGTTACCTTTGTAGGTTCTTCGTAAGAAAGATCTGAGGAAGTTTAGGGTTATAAACTGGAAAGGAGATGTAAAGAAAATGAATTTAATAAAGAACAAGGAGGTCGAAGGAGGAGCGATATTCATTGATAGTCCAAAGTGCATAGCTTTTGGAAAAAAGCTCTGAAGTCTGAATATCAAAAAATGAACTGCATGTTCCAAAAACATAGTCTGGTCATAATAACTGCACAATCTGTCATACTTTAGCCTCTAAATTTGCGCAAGATGTTCAAAATGTCTAATTATTGCTGTGATGTAAATGTGTCAGGGTAGTTTAACTAACTCTGGCTTGATGCGTGTGGTTACTCTTGATAACAAATATATTCAATAATGTTTATTTGTTAGATCTAATGTAAGTGATAAATTGAACCGTTCTGTTGACATCTTTATATGTTAGACAAGATAGATTTCAAGCATATTGGATAGTGTATTATGGTGTTATGTTGGCTAACCGGTGAAAGAGCTTATTTTGGCTTTATCCTGTGTTACGTTTCAAGTTCAAGAAACAGTGGGATAAACTGAAGAGGACATAGACATCTTTTTTTAGGACAGTGGGAGGTGACACGGAGCATTTCCCGGTTGTTATGGGTTACACCAAGGATCTGCGCTCAGCCCGTTTTTATTTGCCATGTCGATGGACGCACTGACACACCATATTCTAGGGGAGGTTCCATGGTGTATGTTATTCGATGATGATATAGTTCTGATTGATGAGACACGAGGCGGCGTTACCGCGAGGTTGGAGGTGTGGAGACAGACCTTGAGTCTAAAATGTTTCAAGTTGAGCAGGACTATGATAGAATACTTGGAGTGTAAGTTAAGCGGCGTGTCAGGGGAAGCAGACATGGAGGTGAGGCTTGCGTCACAAGTTATCCCCAAGAGAGGAAGCTTCAAGTACCTTGGGTCGGTTATCAGGGGTATGAGGAGATTGACGAGGATGTCACGCACCGTACATGGGTGGGGTGGATGAAATGGAGGCTAGCATCTGGCGCATTGTGTGACAAGAAGGTGCCACTGAAGCTTAAAGGTAAGTTCTATAGAGCGATGGTTAAACCGGTCATATTGTATGGGGCTGAGTGTTGGCCAGTCAAGAATTCTCATATCCAGAAGATGAAAGTAGTAGAAATACGGATGTTGAGATGGATGTGCGGGCAAGGCTAGATAAGATTAGGAATGAAGATATTCGGGTGAAGGTGGGCGTGACTCCCGTAGAAGACAAGATGCGGGAAGCGAGGCTTAGATGGTTCGGGGCACGTGCGAAGGAGGAGCCTAGATGCCCGGATGCCCGGATAAGGAGGTGTGAGCAACTAGCTTTGTCGGGTATGAGGAGAGGCAAAGGGCGGCCTAAGAAGTATTGAGGAGAGGTGATCAGGCTGGACATGGCGCGACTTCATATTTTCGAGAACATGGCCCTTGATAGGAAGGTGTGGAGGTCGAGCATTAGGGTTAAAGGTTAGGATGTAGTTGAGCGTTTTTCTACTTTGTACTGGGTGTGGGGCTAGTCTGATAGTGTTTTGTCTTATACTGCTAATGGTTCATATTGTGTCCACACCACTTCCTCGTGTTCGTAGTACCGTGCCATTGTTACTATTTATTGTTATTACTTGTCTTTTTTTTTTTTTTTGCTTCCTACATTGCTGGTATTATCTTTGTGGCTTCTGTTGCTATTACTGATCTACTGTCTCTTTTCGGCTTCTTGAGCCGAGGGTCTATTGGAAACATCCTCGGGGAGGAGTAGAGATAAGGTCTGCGTACACACTACCCTCTCCAGACCCCACTTGTGGAATTTTACTGGGCGTTGTTGTTGTTGTTTGACATAGACTTCTATTTGACAGTACCTGAGCTGATCTTGCACTTCCGCATGCACCAGGTTAGAATACACAACTTTTTAGAGAAAACAAAGAAGCAGAAAGCCGAGAAAGACAGGCAAAAGGAAGATGGGGAACATGTCACTCAAGAACAAGAGAAACTGCGCAAGAAAGTCACTAATCTGATGAAAAAGCAGAAGTTACGTGCAGTGGGCCAGATAGTGAGACGTCAAGACGATTCAAAGCCCTGGGGGCAAGATGCTAAAGCGAAGGTCTGGGCTTACCCTTCCTGATGTCGTTGAAAATTCAATATTTTGTTATTTATGAAGTTTTGACAGTACCTTTGTTGCCATCAGGTTGGAAGCCGGTTGATTGAGCTGCTTCTGCAGACCGCTTATATACAGCCTCCTGCTAATCAGTTAGCAGTTGATCCACCTGACATTCGACCTGCCTTTTTACACAGTGTTAGAACTGTGGCTAAAGAAACAAAGTACTGGTTCGTTCCATTTACTTTCAATTGATTTTATTTGTGACAAGCAATTGATGATTATTGTGGTATTATTCCATTACAGGAGTGCCAGCAGAAGATATGGTATTATCCAATGTGACGAACTGGTTTTCAAAGGGCTTGAAAGAACTGTAAGTAATTATTTATTCTTTAGGAGGTATATGTCTCATTTAAAAGCTTCTTTTGTTGATTAGCTACGCTTGTTTAATTGAGCTACCAGATATGAGAACTATTCCTCAGTGTTTTGTTTACCTTTGTCCTGCAAGTAGGCAAGGCACATGGTGATACCTTACATGCCAATGTTGGTTCCTCCAGTGAAGTGGACAGGGTATGGTAATTTTTTGTCTCTATATTATATATATATATATGTGTGTGTGTGTGTGTGTGTAGAGAGAGAGATGTATGTATATATCTATATCTTGTTTTTCCATATAAATAGATGTATCTAAATCTTGTTTATCTGTCTTCAGTTATGATAAGGGTGGACACCTCTATCTGCCTTCATATGTAATGCGGACACATGGAGCAAGACAACAACGTGAAGCAGTAAAGAGAGCCTCTAGGAACCAGTTGCAACCAGTTTTTGAGGTTCATGGACCAATAATTTATTCAATCTTAAATCTGAGGATCGTATGTTTCCTTTGCTTGCTCATATCATGAAACTTGAGTCTCATGTCCCTTTTAATTGTATCTAGGCTCTTGATACTCTGGGAAGTACCAAATGGAGGATAAACAAAAGGGTACTTTCTGTCGTTGATAGAATATGGGCTGGTGGCGGTCGTCTGGCTGATTTGGTTGACCGTGATGATGTTAGTTACTCTATACTCTTAACTATCCGATTGAGATTCAAAAGTTCATTCTTAAGCAAATGAATTTGATAAGTTGTGTAAACGGTTTGTGATGAAGGAACTGGCAATTGCTATAATTTCTGTTGTTTGCAGTCCCTTTTGCCAGAAGAACCAGATACAGAAGATGAGGCACTACGCACGAAGTGGAGGTGGAAAGTAAAATCTGTCAAGAAAGAGAACAGAGAAAGGCACTCACAACGATGTGACATCGAGCTCAAACTCGCTGTAGGTTCCAATTTCTTCTCTCGTTTATCTTTTAAGATACTAATACTTCCAATAACATCTGGAAACATACATAGAAAACTTATTCGGGCACAGTTGCAATCACAGATCTTTAATTTCTGTATCTGTTTGATTTTCCTCCTGAGGTTTGCTTCTTCATGATTTTACAGGTAGCACGTAAAATGAAAGATGAAGAAGGTTTCTTCTACCCGCACAACGTTGATTTTCGAGGTCGTGCATACCCGATGCATCCACATCTAAACCATCTTGGTTCTGATATCTGTCGGGGTGTCCTGGAGTTTGCCGTAGGTCGTCCTCTTGGAGAGTCAGGCTTGCGCTGGTTGAAGATACACTTGGCAAATCTATTTGCTGGTGGTGTGGAGAAATTATCTCACGAGGGTAGAATAGCTTTTACTGAAAATCACATGGATGATATATTTGATTCTGCTGACAAACCACTTGAAGGAAGGCGCTGGTGGTTGAATGCAGAGGATCCCTTTCAGTGTCTGGCTGTATGCATTAATCTTAGTGAAGTCGTCAGAAGCTCGTCCCCAGAGACATCCATTTCTCATATTCCTGTGCACCAGGTAAGTGTAACTACTAATAGGGTCCTGCACATTTAATTTGTCTGTGAGACATTTTGGAAGAGAGAGAAACCTTTGAGGACAAATTCAACACTATACTCATTCTGATGTAAAGAAGTATATGAAAATACTGCAGAATTTATGCTAGAACTCGTGAAAACCCCACAGGAATAGGCTAGGGATATTTGTGGGGCTCTATCTTTGCCTCGATAACCCTTTGTACATATTTGACTGCACTTCCTTAGTGCTATGCTGATTACACATGACCATTTCTCAAAAAAGAAAAAAATTGTCTTTTGATGTTTGGCTCACATTGAGTGTACTTTGCAAATTCTTTTCAAGTCATTGCTTTGAGTTATGAAAAGCATGTCAGTATGATTACAAGGGAGCACATAGTGTTATGTGGAAGTCACTGATGTATTTGGATTTTATTAATTTAGTTTTGGCATGATTTGCAATGGTTTAAGAATGTTTTTATGTAATATCTTCCTCATCGATTGATGGGTTATGTATCTCAAGCAGTTTTTTGGGGGGCTTGAGTTCCATAAAAAACCTAACGTATTTTGGTCAAGCTGGCAGATTTTCATTAGTTGGTCCCCAGACTAGCGAAAAAGTTCAAACAAAAGGATTATTCTTTTTGGTCGTATCTCAGTTTCTTGAATATAGGTTGATGAAAGTGGTCAATTCATATGTAGATCAAAGGAGTTGGGCTGCAACTCAAGTTGCACCTGGACAACTATTCATTTCTCAAATTAACTGCTGTTCGAGTGATTTTACTTGATATAAGTTCTCAACTGAAGAGACTATATTTGTTTATGGCTTTGGACCACCTGCTGCCGAAGTCCTTCATTTTCTGCAATTGAATCTCTCTGTAGTATTTTGAGTTTGTGTGTAGAATGTATTAGAATTTTTCTTATAAACTTTTGTTGTACTTTTCAGGATGGTTCCTGCAATGGTTTACAACATTATGCTGCCCTTGGAAGAGATAAGGTAATAAAAAGCATGAAGTATGGTGCTGACATTCTTATTATAAAAAAATCGTATGTTGCATCTGTTGAGTGATTATTTAGTTATTAACTTTTGATTACTTGAATGCCATTTGCTTTGTTTTCTCATCTTATCAATTCAAGCATAGAGTTCATTTTCATTCTCTCTGTGAGATAATCCAAACGAATTATTTGTCACTTCTATTTTCATTCTTTAAAGTCTTACGATCTCTGGCATCTACTTAATCAACTCTTCTGTTGACAATCATCGGTTCAGTTGGGAGCTGCTGCAGTTAATTTGGTTGCTGGAGAAAAACCTGCTGATGTTTACTCTGGCATAGCAGCTAGGTGAGTTTGTTCAATCCTCTTCCCTCTAAGACATAATTAGACTTGAGGACTTGAGGTGCTCCTATTCTCTTTCTTGGCCTTTACTTTCACGTGAGGCAAACAATTATCCCATGTTTAAGCATAGTGAGTGCGAACACTTAATCATTAGCATTTGACAAACCACTGACCAGAGACTATTACGTCAGGAGTGGGTGCAGATTGACCTTTCCTGCCATAACAAATCTTTAGGTAGTTTATATAGTCATGTGAGAGAAGGAACTGTATTGTAAAATGAACCTATATGCCTCAAACAAACCAACATGCCATGATTTGGCTTCAAAATTGACTGCTCCGTGCATCAGATAGTGTAAGACAAAATCTAGAATGCTTAACTGAACTTTCTGGAGTGATGTATGTCATTAAATTATTTATGGAGTTCTCGCCATGTTGTGATCATATGAAAAAACTTAGAGAAAGCTTGTGTTTGCTTTTGTACCATCTTGGTACCTTTATTAATAAAATCTTACCTTACCAGAAAAAAGATGAAAAAAGCTTGCTCGTTATGGCTACCCAAGGGTGTGTAGCCTAGTGGTCAATGAAGTGGGTTGAGAACCTCAGGTCTCAGGTTTAAATTCGAGCGGAGACAAAAACACTAGGTGATTTCCTCCCTTCTGTTCGAGCCGTGGATACCTGTTTCTGGTGGGAGGTAGCAGGTATCCCGTGAAATTAGTCGAGGTGCGCGCAAGCTGGCCCGAACACCACGTTATTTTTTTTAAAAAAAAAAAAGCTTGCTCGTCATGTGCATGGGAAAACTGGTCAATTACGAAGTTTTGGGGGAGTCAATAAACATACACCATGGAGTCTTATCATTGTTGAATTAGAACTAGAAGCTCTTTCTTTTTTAAGAGTTTTGTACTCATTTCGGAGTTTATAACAAGTTCAAATGCTTATAGGTTCAGAGTTCTTAACTGCCAAAAGCAGCATTGAGTTGGAATACTTTCGTTTTTGTATACCAATTCTGGCTTATTAAGTTTAAACATTTGGAAGTTAGTATTGAGGAATAAGGCACAGTGAACAATATTTTGATGTTGCTATTTTTTCAGAGTCCTTGATATTATGAAAAGAGATGCACAGAGAGATCCTGCAGAATTTCCAGACGCTGTGCGTGCAAGGGCTTTAGTTAATCAGGTATCATACTGTTCACCTTGTTAAGGCCACTGTTGTTTCATTACCAACAGCATACTCCCTATTTCTGCAATTGTTGGCAGTTTGAAGTGCAGTGGTTTGACAGGTTGACAGGAAGTTGGTGAAGCAGACCGTGATGACATCAGTCTATGGGGTCACTTACATTGGGGCTCGTGATCAAATAAAGAGGAGGTTAAAGGAGCGTGGAGCAATTGCTGATGATTCTGAGCTATTTGGTGCTGCTTGCTATGCTGCAAAAGTAAGGGCAAGATGGAGACTATAATTTATACCCCTTTAATAGCTCCTTACTGGCTTAACTGTTATCAGTTGAGAATTGACTCTTCAAATGCTTAAAACCAAAGAATCAGAACTGCTAGACTTCAGGTGGCAGTTGGATCTGGTTTTTGCTTTTGCCTGAAAATGACTGTCAATTTGTGTGTGTTCACACCCATAGTTACATAGCCCACTGTCACATGCTTTCTTTGCTTTCGCTAAGCATAATCGATGTATTGTATCATATGAAGATCTTTAAAAGGACATCGCCAGTGTCCTGATGGTTATAGAGTGCTAACGAACTTGCCAATAAATAAACGCTCATTACATCATATAATGAGTTCTTACTTCTTATCTTGGTCAATAACGAGCACCTTTTGATGCATTCATTAGGTCACATTAACTGCATTAGGGGAGATGTTTGAAGCTGCACGCAGCATCATGACTTGGCTTGGAGAATGTGCTAAGGTATGCCTAATATCTTACATTATCACCACCGATATATGTTTTAAGTTCTGCCCCTCTTCTGTTTAGGTCATTTGAGCAGTTAAAATGTTGCTATACTATGGTGTCAAGTACTGGACTGGCTAACTTCTTGGACAAAGCTCTTACTGTGTAATAGCTCTTCAATTGTCATCATTTAGTTATCTTAGTCAAAATTACTTGTGTTAATTCGGTCGACCATGTTTTTTCTACTTTCATTCTGATGATGATAAAAAGCTATCAGTATGGACATGTACGTCTGTGATTATATGTTCCTGTTGTTCTTGACACATGATTGCAAAGATTTTAATTGGTGGAAGTTTTTTTTTCCCTGATAAAATGGGTACACTCAGATAATTGAGGAAAAGTCTGGTATACAGAAAGTGGTAGAACCTACATCAAGACATGGTTTCAACAAAATGCTCCTAATTATCAACACTAACTGGGATCACGTGGCTCCAAGACTAACTAAAAACAAGTGATATGTCTTGAGTTGTGCAATTGTGTCCTCTATTTCCTTAAAAGCTCTCCTATTTCTTTCACTCCATAGAACCCAAGATTCAGTGTCAGTACTAGTGGGTGTGTGGGGGGGGGGGGGGGGACTAAAGATGGAACTCTAGGTATAGTGCCCAAGATCCAGTGTTAGTTTTTGTCGATACATGTTCCGAGTTTTCTCTAATTCTTCCATGAGGCGTTTTAAGGCCAGTCGAAGATTTTCCATCAGAAGTAGGTTTATCAGATTATAGAAGAACTATGCTTATTCATTGATACAAAAAAATTGAGACTGGAAATCTTGTACAAATATCTGATCACAATGATGAAGGTGCATTACAATCTTGCTCCTGCTACAGTTTACCTTCATTGACCTCGAAGTTTCAACAGATAATTGCTTCTGAAAATGAACCAGTCAGATGGACAACTCCTCTTGGACTTCCAGTTGTTCAGCCTTACCGCAAAATTGGAAGACATCTTGTGAGTATTACTATGTTGTTCATTTTTGGTCACCATGCTCTAGCAAAATACTCATGTCATTAAATCTCTTGTTGGTAAATCTTGTGCAGATTAAGACGTCTCTCCAGATTTTGACTTTGCAACGGGAAACAGAAAAGGTACTTTTCTTGTCTTTGCCCTCATACTCCGTGTTATCTTATATTCGATCTCTATATCAACAAGGTGGGAACTAATGGGGATACAGATGAGTGCTCATTTTGTACTTTCATTTGCATATTATTCTTCAGTGTTTCCTCTTTGAGATTGAACTTGGTAAATTTCCAGTTGAAAATTTTCTAGAACTCTATGCCCTTTGCAGGTAATGGTCAAGAGGCAAAGGACAGCTTTTCCGCCAAATTTCATTCACTCCCTTGATGGTTCACATATGATGATGACTGCAGTTGCATGCAGAAGGGCAGGCTTAAATTTTGCAGGTTTTTTTAGTTCTCTTTTTCGCCCCACTTTACGCGGGTTCTGTGGAAGGAATGCAATTAAACTTCTTTTTGCTGCAGGTGTTCATGACTCGTATTGGACACATGCATGTGATGTTGATAAGTTGAACAGGATATTGAGAGAAAAGTTTGTAGAGCTTTATGATACTCCAATTCTTGAGAAAGTAAGTATCAACATTATTTAAAAAGTAGAAAATATCATATTATCAATTTCCAAGTGCTTCTTCTCCCTTATGAATCAACACTCCACCTTTTAAACAAATACGTAAGAGGGCATTATAACTTTTAATTTTTTTTGGCTGCCTGTGAGCCTTTGACCATTGGAAGAAATAATTCTCTATAGATTGATTGCAGCTCTTCCTTGTTATCAAGCGGAGCTGCTGAAGGTTAACGATTTATTCATTTCATTATTCCAAATTCTATCATCTTTTATTTCTTCTCTTCTTTTCTTTTCCTTCCAAATAGTTGCAAGAATAACCTGTCCCGTTGATCAAAGGATTGAACCATTCGCTAATGTTAGTTTAAGGTGTTTCATGTGTCAAAATCTGGAAAATGTTACTTCATTGTCCGCTCATAGTTGTTTCTTTCCATCTTTGGGCAGTTGTTGGAGAGCTTCCAAACTTCTTATCCTACATTGTTGTTCCCGCCTTTACCTGAACGTGGGGACTTTGATTTGCGAGATGTCCTAGAATCTCCCTATTTCTTCAATTGATTGGATTCATGCATAACTTCACACCCCTTGAAGTACTACATTGGCCGGTGTCATCTTGTGCTTTCAAATGCCATAATAGGGAAGACAATGAAGAGTTTGCGCTACAACATAGCGTTTGGGGAGATGCAGATTCTGTTGTATATATGAACATGATTAGGGTCTCAAATCTGGGACGCTCATGTTCTTTTCTTGGTCGTGTAGCCTGCACTCTCTAGTGCAGCCGGGGCAGAAGTTTCTGGTCCAAGCATGTATGCAATGAGAATTCAGATTCCCTGACCCGTTTCTAACAGAATATGTGATACTGTCTCGAAATAAACACATGTTGCAAGAATGCTTGTCGAGAAATATAGACGATCATATTTCTTCTGAAGAAGCTTTTGAGGTGCAAGGATGCAAATGATCTCCGGGTTTTGCAGGCTGTTCCCGAAAATATTTAGCTCCTCCTGTATCTTGCTCGCCAGGCGGTATTCTTTGTATTTTCAAATTGTAAATCGAAAAAGTTTGTGCTTTACAACCATTATAGAGAGCAAGTTTCGCTTACGATGGAGGGAAATTTGCAAGCTTTGAGGCATGTGTTTGAGATTATAATGAATGTATAGTAGCTGAGAAAATATTGTCGCGATATGTTCTGGTGGTGAATCCTATGTATAGATGCTAACAAAGTCTGTTAATATCTTCCTTGGATATCGTTTCTCTCTTTTATTCTTCCAGAAATGTTAGTTATTCTCCATTAAGGTAGATGGCAGTATTGTTATTTGGAAACAATATTAATCTCACATTTAGGTATGTATTTTCTTTAACAAAATTTGTGGTGCTTCAAAGTAGTAAACTCAGACACAGAAGAGTAATTCGTCTATGCACTTGAAAGTTTCATCATTTTCTTTTTTCTGCTTATACTTTTCTGATTTTTGGACATTTTGATTTTGACTCAATTTAGGCAACAAAAAAGAGTACCTAAATGTGAACCGTGAAGAGACTTGCTTGTAATTGCAAGCTAATGGTGATATATGTGCATATGCTTTAAGGGTGTAATATCCATGCATGGTACTTGCACAAGCTTGTAAAGCTCTAACTTTTTCTATTGCTCTATGAATACATAGAACTCTCGGAGAAATTTAAAAAAAGCCAGATTATTCAAAAATAGCCCAGTTTTAAAAGTAATCGAAATTTAGTCACTTTTCATGTAAAGATAAATCTAAGTACGCCAGTATATTATGCTGGAGTTTCAGCATAAGTATACTTGAACTCCAGCATATTATACTGGAGTTCCAGGATAAGTATACTGGAACTCCATCATATAAGTACACTAGAACTCCAGCATAATATATTGGAGTTCCAGCAAGCATACTGGTCTAGCATAATATACTAGAGGTTGGAGCACCGGTGCTCCAGTCTCCAGTATATTATACTGAAGCCAGCAAAGTATACCGGTGCAGCATAATATGCTGGAGTTCATACACAGGTGCACCGAACTCCAGTATATTATGCTGGACCGGTCTCTGTTGCAGCAAAATAGTGGCTATTTTTCATTGACTTAGTAAACCCTGGCTATTTTTGAATGACCACTCCGAAAACTGGCTATACCGTGCTATTTTGACTAGAACTCTCTGTTGAGCTAAAACGACCCAAAGATAGTCTTAACATTGTGTGATATTTTTCGCTTTGGGCCAAGCCCGCATATTTTTTTCCTAAAAGGTCTCACACCATTAAGAATATCCAATTCCTTATAAGTAACTTTTTTTTTTTTTTTTAATTCCTATGTGAAATTTTGTTCACACACTCCTAGCAATCTCTTCCAGGACCCACCCTCAACCACAGTTAAAGAGAAAAATGCAAAACTTTGGCTGCATTATTGGACTTGGATTGTCTAAGAAATGTATCTCGGGCTGAGCAAATGGTAGGGGAAAGTAGAGACTGCTAATAAGGCCCCACTAAACAGTAGCGGAAGTAGCTTTTGAGCAACAAAGTTCAATCGAACTCAATATCTTCGACACGAAACATTAATATAACATATGATTGTGAAAAAAATCGTAAATTTTTAGTGTGTAAATATTAGATTCTGAACACATAATATCAAAAAAAATTGTGAGTTTCGTGCTAAAAACCTTAAATATTGAATCCAACAAATTCATATTCCGGATGTGCCTGTGAAGTGTTGTCGTCCAACCGTCAAGACAACAGAGAAGAAGAGTAAGCGTGAAAATAGCACGGGCTAGCCAGTTTTCGGACTGGTAATTGAAAAATTGCCAGCATTTGTAAATCATTGAAAATAGCTAGTATTATTTTGCAACACAGAAAGTTCCAATATGCGGGACTATGGAGCTCCTGCGCATAAACTCCAGCACACAGAAAGTTCCAGCATAATATGCTGGATTATGGAGCTCCTGCACAGTGGCGAAGCCAGGAATTTCATCAAGGGTGTTCAAACTTGAAAGAAGTAAAAAAAAAAAAAAGAATCCCAATAAAGGGTGTTCAACATATGTTATATACCTGTTAGATTTAATATTACACCTATATATGCAGTATAATTTCGACAAAGGGTGATCAATTGACCACCCTTAGGACTATGTAGCTTCGCCCATGACAGTGGCGAAGCCAGGAATTTCATCAAGGGCGTTCAAACTTGAAAGAAGTAAAAAAAAAATCCCAATAAAGGGTGTTCAACATATGGTATATACCTGTTAGATTTAATATTACACCTATATACGCAGTATAATTTCGACAAAAAGGGTGATCACTTGACCACCCTTAGGACTATGTGGCTTCGCCAATGATCCTGCATATAAACTTCCCGCATATTATGTTAGAATTCCAGCACATTATGAAATTCCAGCACATTATGCTGGAAGCGCATATGAAAAAAATTCGAACTCAAACATATTATCTTGGAATATTTCCGCATTTGTAATGGTGTTTTTGTTTAGATTTTATCTTTACATAAAAAAGTGGCTAAATTTTGATATTTTTTAAACTGTAATTATTTTTCAATTACCAATTGTAAATCTGACTATTTTTTATTTTTCCCCGGAGAAAGCTTATCATATCAAAGTGCGGCTTACTCTTCTTCTCTTTTGTCTTGATGGTTTGGAGTATAATACTTCAAAAAAAAAAAAAGGTAAGCATAAAGTGGGAAGAATAGTAGCCACTCAAAACAATTGTAGAGATAACTTGTGAGTGAGGCACTTTATTAGTTAATTGGATATAGAAGATCTTTTATAGTTGGAAGTCCATTTATATTTTGGGAGTTGCTGTTCATTGTTGTTGGTGTTAGTTACTAACAGTAATTGAAAGCTGGCGTTGTGTACCTCTAAAAAGAGCATGTGAAAGCACATGCTGAAGGGAACCCTGTCATTTTCATTGTTTTCATTTGCACATGCTGATGTGAGATTATGGACAACTTCCTCATCCCAACTTGTTTCCCCTAAATTATTTAGTGCTGCCTTCACGGACTCTTTTAAGATAATGGCTACAAACTCTCTATAGATAGATACTTGAGGGGAGAAAAATCACGGTTGTTTGAAATTGACGTAAAGATGGTCTATTGATTGTTCATCGAGCTTTGGTCTAGTGGTAAGAGTGCAATATATGATGTATGAGTTAGACGTACATCACGAATTTAAACTTTGTCACTGACAAAAGCTCGATGTTAAGTAAAGAATAATAGAAGAATGGGATAATTATTCACTAAATTTTGAACCATGCCCCTTGGGAATTTCTTAGTTATAAAGAGGAGTCTATTGAAGATGAATTCACCGATATTAAGGAGTTAATTTCAACGGTTGTTTGAAGTTGACGTTAAAATGGTCTATTAATTTTTCATAGAGCTTTAGTCTAGTGGTAAGAGCGCAACATGTGATGTACGAGTTGAGCGCATATCACATGTTCGAACCTTAAAGCCTGATATTAAGCGGAGAAGGTAGAGGAATTGGCCAATTATTCATGTAGAATTATAGTGTTTTCTATCTTTTTGTTCCACTCTTTTCCTTTCCATCTTATTTTGCATCACTATTTGGAGAAACTTTTTAGCTTTCAACTTTTCTTCTTATTTATCACCAAAAAATGAAAGAACAGCTCATGTGCATTCCAAGATTGTAAAAAGACGATAATGACCCGAAGAGTAATTAAGTTGAATTTTTTTACTCAAATAACTCCTTCACTTTTAATGTTGCATACATTTCTATTTTCCGGAAACTATTTAATCTTATTACACTCAATGGCATGCCTTGTGCGCAGAGGCGGATCCAGAATATAAACTCTATGGGTTCAACTTTTAAGGTTTTAATATTGAACCCATTATATTTTTTAAGTTATGGGTTCATATCTATTATTTTTGCAATTTTAATGAATTTTATAAATGTTTACCCTGCGTCAAATATGAGTTCAGGTGAACCCGTCCTTGCTTGGGAGACGACCACTTCATAAAAAAGCTTACCTTGTATGAGGAGAGAAAAATATGAAAAGGACATATGGGAGCTCTTACCACCTCTTTTAATTGTTGATAATGAGGGCAATTTTGGTACCTAACACATATTTTCAGATTATGTGTAAATAGTCTTGCTTTATTTTTTAAAATGGAACAAAAAGAGAACCTTTTCGAACTCGAGTATGAGAAAAAAACTACTTATTGAATTAAATGAAAAGTGCAGAGGGGTTACTGTTGGAGTGTGACAACAGCAAGTGCTAGCTAAAGAGCTTAATCTAGTAGAGAATTTCCTCTCTATAAATAGCAGTCTACTCGTTCAATGCTCTTCACAATTATCTTCCTCTTAACTCTTTCAAATTATTCCCCTTTGCTTCAGACAAATTATAGCAATGGCTGGGAAACTGAGCATTGTCTTGTTTGTTCTTTTGGTAGTTTTTTTGGCCCAAAATCAGGTGAGCGCAAATATTTTATGCATCCATTGTTAATGTACCTATTGTTTTCAACTCGAATTATATACATATAGTTGAAAATATATTTAAAATATGTCTGAACCCATGCGGTTCATGCAAGCATTTTTGTTCTTTCAATTTTATGGTATAATAGTAAATAATTTGTGTGGTCAGGTTTCGAGGGCCAAACTAGTGCTTGATCCGAAGCTGCAAACCCAGAGAAATAACCAAATGGTAAAGATCCATTTTTGTTTTGGGACTTTATGATTTATGAAATTTTTAATTAATTTCCGTGGCTAATTAACTATATTTATTATGTCTGCTTAATTTGCAGTATGGTGTTAGTCAGGGAAGCCTCCGTCCTCAAGGTATAGACACTCACTTCATCATGACATATGCGCAGCTTCTATCCTACTTCAATTAAAATGTCTAATATTCACTCGGAACTTCTTCTTTTAAAAAATAAAAAAAGAATAACTCGGTACACAAAGTTTCCTACCTATATGTAGGTCCGGGAAGGGACTTGACCAAATTGATTATGTTCCACACATAATAAGCAATTTATGGTTTGAACTCATGACCTTCTGGTCATATGAGAGTCATATAGTGACAACTTTTACAATTGACTCAAGGCTTTCCTTCTCGGGGCTCCTTTCTACCTTCTTTTTTGAATTTACATTATTAATGTTCTCTTTTTTGTTGGTAATTTACGTTATTAACTTTTTTTTTTTGGTTGGATTGTACAGATTGTCTACCGAAATGCACATATCGCTGCTCACGGACTTCATTCAAGAAGCCATGCATGTTTTTCTGCCAGAAATGTTGTTCCAAGTGTCTGTGTGTGCCCCCTGGTACCTATGGCAACAAACAAACCTGCCCTTGCTACAATAACTGGAAAACCAAGGAAGGTGGCCCCAAGTGCCCCTGATTTAACAGGAATTCGTTTCACTATAATCTATATATCCATCTATATATTGTGTGACAGACACCCAACTTCTGTCAGTTTCATCTAGCACTTGGTTCAGGTGGTCTGTGTTAGCTAGTAAATGATCAAATTAAGCACCAATATAACCACTTTTTGGCAAAGCCAGGAAGATTAGTTATAATGCAATGACAGTAACTATGTGCTAGCAATTGCTACTAGAAATCTGTATTCTCGTCATACTCCGTGCTTGTATGCAGCCTATAAACGAGCTGTGTTTATAAGAAGTTTTAATGTAATTTGACGACAGTTTCTTAGTATTATTTTTCTACCTTTCTGCTTAAGAACCTGTATTTTAAGATATGTAATCCACGTTGTATTTGGTGTTTCTTACCAATATGTGAATGATGCTCTATATTAAAGCAACTGGCAATTATCAAGACTAATGCTACAATAATAAAACGAATGGGGAGTGACAGATAGAGACTAGCATACCACACAAGAATCTGGCACAATTGAATTTTGAGCGTGAACTTTTCGCCTAAATGTGTTTAGAAAACTAATGAAATAAATGAAGACGGCGATGAAAGAGATAATAAGGAACCAAAGCTCATGGAGAAAAAAATTCTGTGCCTCTTTACAATCTCAAGGACGTCCATCGAAATGGTTTCACAGTTTAGTTATACATGAATAATAATTCATGAATTGTTTATATGAAATGAATAAAAATTCATGAATTGCCTTATAAAGTGGTCACAGTTTAGTTATACATGAATAATAATTCATGCATGTTACTACACAAGAAATATCAATACCTGAATCGGGAATTACTACGGTTAAATACTTTGACTTCAATCAAGGACGAAAATAAGCTTATATGCCTTATAAAGTGGTCACAGTGTCACAGAGCATTGCATCACAAGCATATCTACTACTCAACATCTCTATATAGAGTTCTAAATAGAAAGTTGTTAGGTTTTTGGTACTCAATAGAAGGTACAAGAGCTGGATTAAAATCCCTTCTCCAGCATTCTCGTTGGAACTTTTGCTAGATAAGATCTCGAAGCTGCAAATGCTATTCAATTAGGTGATCCATCAGCAGAGAGTAAGTCGAACTACGCCAGCCCACAGCATGTGTCAAACATTGGAATCTCATCCATTCATTAACCAAGATGATCATTCAGTGAGGTGCATCCTTCACCTGATTGCCCCGGTAAAAGTGTCACAATTAAAATTGCCGAAAAGCTACAACATCCATTAGTAAGAAACTAAGCTAAGCATTGTTCCGGCCATTGCAGCACCCAAAGAAAAGGCAAATATATAGTGAAATCGTATTGAAACAGAGAACTGAATTTTGTCCATTTAGGCTTTTTTCAGTGAGGTTTTCTTATTCATGATGGAGTATTTAGTGATACTAGTAAACTCCTGTAGTAACTAGTTGTCTTTGTTGTAATGTTGACTGATGCTTTGGTGAATCATTGTCTCTATCTTAGCTTCTTTCATTTCTGAAGGCATGCTGCTGTAGTGATAATTTATAAGCAGCATCCATTTATTTTACATGCTCGAGTGCTTCATACTATACCTTATTGAATTTTACAGAGTTGAACCATACAAAGCTCAGTTGAAACATTTGCTGGCGTTAAAGACAAAGGATGAAGAATGCCTTCTGGAGATGCTACAAAATACTACATTAATTAAGAAGGTTAAAAGTATATAATCAGAAATGATTTGTTGGTTTCCTCCTTTTGCCCTATTAAGCTTTCACCTAAAGAAGAATAGTAAGAGAAATCCTCCGGATCAAAAAATAACCCTATGGGACCTTATAAAAGAAAAAACAACATGGGCTACAACCTAGGCGTTATTGGTGCATTCACCTGCCACAATTTCCATGTCTCTGGTGCTGTATTCTTACTCTATCTATAGGCACAACATCCTCCTTAAAGCACAGCTCAAGAAGAGAAACAAAGTCCATCATTGAGCTTGAAGTTCAAGACACCAGGTAAAATACAATAAACAAAATGACTGCTTTTGCAAAAGATCATCATTTCTTGAGAATAGTGCAAAAAAGGAAAATGACTAACAAGATCCCCAAGCAATATGGAACTAGAATTTAACAACAGCAACAATAAACTCAGTCTAATCCCACAAGTGAACTAGACTTTAACAGCACTTAAGAAAAATGCGAGTGTACCTCTTACATGTTATTAGTCACATGATTGTCTTCATCTGAGTTATTTCAGCTCCACTGTTGTTGCGTTCGAGGTCCCTTCCGTATGAAGGGACAAACTAGGCTCTTAACGTAGATGTGTGCTTCAAGAAATGGAGCAAAGTTGGTAACATCCAGATATTTGATCGACTCATCCTTTGAATTGTACTTCGTGAAACGTGATCCAAACTGAATCAAAATTTCACCTTCATTTGACATTAAAATTGGTGGATCAAATCTATTTCCCGTTGAATCAACAGGAGACTTGATGGTAAATATTTTTGCCCAAGATTCTTTTACCCCATACTCCTTCATAACCCATATATCTACCTGAGTCCAAGCTTCATTACAAAACGCAGAAAGATCACTCCTGAACACTCCTAGACTCAAAAAACCACATTTTTTAAAAGAGCAGGGCTGCTCTACCTCTGCCCATTTCTCACAAGCCAAATCAATAGAAAGAATGTTCCATCCCTTGTCAAGCCAATAAAGCTTCCCATTCACAAGCTTACCCGAATGATCATCCAACAACAACCTACCTTTAAAATCATCAATACTTCTCCAAGAATTACTCTTTAGACTATATATTCTAACCTCAATACGACACAAATGTATATATCTGTAAATAGAGAATATACCCACTACCTTGTAATCATCTTGGAACTCATCATATGCAAAACCAAAATTAAAATCGACACATTCATCCTCATGGTAACGGCGGCTTACACTAAGTCTATAATTACGCAATTTCTTGTACTTTCTAACTGATGGATTCCATAGAAACAAATCAGGTAAACCGTCAAACGAATTAATGACAAGACAAATCAAACCATTAATAGAACCCACAATCCGAGGAAAGTGATCGGGATTTTTACCAGGATAATCCAAGTCAAATGCCTCAGTAACAGAATTGTAAAGTAAAGAGCTAAGGGAACAGTACTTAACATCGTAGTTATCATTAGATGCCTCAAACATAACTCCATGGTGGGTGTAGTCCTTATTACTAGCGGATAATAAGAGATGGATTTTCACAAATTCAGGGCTAGAGATTAGTGCAAGCCATGATTTTGAAACACAACTAAATCGCAAGAGGGAATTGACAGGAAGCTTTAACAAGATTTCTGTGATGAGTTCTGCAGGAAGGTTAGGCATAGAAAAGATTGAATCTTTGCTTGAAATGGATGGAACATGAGCTGGGTTTTGGGGTTTGCTCTGTTTTGGGTGTCGAGGGACGGCCTCATCTCTTTGTGATTCCATTTGGTTTGCTGAATTTGGAAATCTTGGAGTTGTTTTTTTTGCTTATGGAGAACCCAAGTTGTTGGAAAGACTACGGGGTTAAGGGTTTAATGGTTTACCTAGTTGTTGTGAAAAACCCAAGTTTTCATGTTCCCCGGTTTTACTTAGGGGAGAAATAAAAAAAATAGCCAGATTTACAAGTGGGATAGCCGCAGTTTCAAAAGTAATTAAAATTTAGCCACTTTTCATATAAAGATAAATTTAAACGAAAACACCGTTGAATCCGAAAAATACTCCAATATAATATACTGAAGTTTCAGCATAAGTATACTGGAACTTCAGTATATACTAGAGTTTCAGTATATTATACTGGAACCGATCCAGCATAATATGCTGAAAGTTCATACACAAGTGCACTGTTCTCCAGTATATCATGCTGGAACTTTCCACGTTGCAGCAAAATAGTGACTATTTTTCAATGACTTTGCAAATGCTGGCTATTTTTGAATGACCAGTCCAAAAACTGCTAGCCCGTTTTACTTTACTTAGAGCTGTCGATATGGGGGGAGAAATTCAAAAATAGCCAGATTTACCACTGGTCGTTGAAAAATAGCCAAGTTTCAAAAGTCATCGAAATTTAGCCACTTTAAATCTGAGCGAAAACACTGTTCAAAATCCGGAAAAATACGCCTGCAAATTTTACGGGAGTTCCAGCATAAGTATGCTTGAACTCCCGTAAATTTTACGGGAGTTCAAGCATAATTATGCTGGAACTCCCGCAAATTTTACGGGAGTTCCAGCAAGTATAATTGTCCAGTATAATATACTAGAGTTTGGAGCACTGGTGCTCCAGTCTCCCGCAAATTTTACAGGAGTTAGCAAAGTATATCGGTCCAGCATAATATGCTGGAGTTCGTACACAAATGCACCAGAACTCCCGTATATTACACTGGACCGGTCCCTGTTGCAGCAAAATAGTGACTATTTTTCATTGACTTGATAAACGCGGCTATTTTTCATTGACCAGTGTGAAAACTGGCTATACCATGATATTTTAACCGATATGGGCGGGGCCGAGCTAGCCCAGCCCAACCCACATAGTCTTTAGCAATTGACGGGCTGGATTGGACTAGCCCACCATTTGATGGGCCTTAAATGTTCAGTCCACCCAGCCCTATGTGGGTTGCGGGCCCTCATGCGCCGGCCCATCTTTTTTAAAATATAATTTATATTTTTCTTTAAGTTTTAACCTTAAAAAAAATTAAAAGCTAAAAAGATCTTATTGGAAAAACTTCACAAAACTTAGTAACTTTTTATAATGTTCCAATATATCACAATAAACACTAAAAATATAAGACAAGACTAGCGCAGCCCAGCCTCAGTCAAGCCTCACGAGCCACGGGCTTATTCGGGCCGGGCTTAAAAGCCTCATTTTCAAATGGGCTCCAAAAATTCTAGCTCAGCCCTACTAAATCAAGGGCTGGGCTGGACCAGCCCAACGGGCCAAGTCCATATTGAGTATTGACGGCTCTAGTTTTACTCTTTCCTTTGGTTGTTTTTTGAAGGCTGCTGTTTAAAACATACTTAACCTTTGATAAAATTATAGGGAAACTTACACAAATGTCCCAAATAAATCTCAACTTACCAACCTCTAGCCATTAGTCATAGACTTACCAAAACTAGCCAACAAAAATTGAAAAACCAAATAATAGGGTTCTTTCTCTCAAAGAATCACATGCAAAAATCACCTTCCATATTTTTAAGTGTGATTAGCAACATTAGATACAAGACGGAAAAGAAATTTCATGGACGGGGTAGCAAACAAGGTGATGAAATACAAAAATCTATACAAATATTCCAAAAATCTAAACAAAAAAGGAACTTTTTCAATGGGTATAGTTGAAATTCATTGAAAATATATAGATAAGTCAATATACAAAATTTGAGGAAGATTGGAGGTGATTTGGAGTGGTCTTGTATCAAAATTCATAATTAAATCGAGTTCAAAAAAGTGTTCTGCGACACATGTATCAAACATGTATCACGCATGTATCTCACACACAGGTATACATGGATATACATGTGATACACAATTGGTACAAATATGATACATATGTGATACACAAATGATACATAGTGTGATACACATATCATTTTTTTTTCATATTCAGCTTTTACTTCGAATTTTCAATTCAAACCACCTCAAAACTTCACCAAATCATCCCAAAACTGAGATTCAAGCTCCTTAAGTTGTGCCCAATCTATTCTAATAACACCCACTCAAAACAAAGCAAAGATTTGATATTTTTTTGCTACAAATATCTAATTGGCTAATTTGGCTAATATTAGTAATATTTTATCAATTGGCCAATTTTTGTAATGAGCTACCTATAAATGGACATAGCTGGTAATTTCCCAAAATTATATCATGATATTAGTATAAAACTTATACTGATATTAGCTGATAAATGTAATACCAAATTTTATATCGAGATTAGTGTTCCAATCTCGGTAAGCAATCAACCCCTAAAAGGTCCTATCATTCGTGAACACACAAACAAGTTATACTAGGATTATAATGCGAGGATTATACTATAAAGATTAAACAATAACAATATTTAGTGAATATACTCTATTAGTAGATGTTTAGTTCATTTATTTAAAATAAGATATATAGGGTATAATATAAAAAATGCGTTTTGCTTAAACTAGATAAACATGGATAAATTTTATTTACAGTTTTAACTATGGTCAAATACTTTGGACTTCAATCAGGGACACATTCGCTTATGTGCCTTTTAAAGTGGTCACAGAACATCGCATCACAAGCATCTCTGCTACTCAATATCTTCTATATACAGTTCTAAATGGGAAGCTGTTAGGTTCTTGGTGCTCAACAGAAGGTACAAGAGCTGGATTACAATCCCCTTCTCAGCATCTCATTGCTCACTAACCTCCCTCCCCTCCCCCGCCCCTCAAACCCCATAAAACACCCTCTTTCCATTTTTTCCTCGTCTTCAAACGACAATCTTTGATGGAAAAATAACGCCCGCAATATCAAGGTTGGTGTTCCAGCTGAGTATAAAGCCTCTCGGATGTGAGCCCCTGTGCTATTTTCCCCTCAGACACATTCCTGTTCTGAAAGTTTTTGCAAGATCTCGAATCAAGCAGCAGATGACATTCAGTTAGGTGACCCAGCAGCTGACGTAAGTCAGATACACCATCCCACAGCATGTGTCGAACATCGGAATCTCATCCATTCAATAACCAAGACGATCATTCAGTGAGGTTCGTCCATCACCTGATTGCCCTGGTAAAAAGTGTCACAAGTATAAGTAAAATTGCCAAAAACTCAAACATCCATTAGTAAGCAACTAGGCATGAAGAGAAAGGTGGCTTACCTTCAGGAGGAACCCAAGAATCATAGTCAGTCTCACTCTTGAGAAATGATGGTCTCTCTGGACCAAGCACCTTCTTATGCTTCTTCTTATCGTTCCTGATTTGACTTTCACGGGATACGTCATGTCCACTATGTTCCACCTCATCATCAGAAACGTGGTATCTTTGAGAATGTCTCAACAGCAGAGCAACCGCATCTTCCGCTTTCATATCAGCTCCAGAGGATTGTTGAGAATCTTCGAGTTCAGTGGCATCAGGCTTCTCCACTTGCTTGCGCTTCCTTATTATCAGTCCAGGAGCTGCATTTTCAATTCCAGAGTCAGCAGTCAACTGTGTAACATCTGGTTTTTCCAAAATTTTATTCCTGTCTTTGTAGTCAACAAATTGATCATTTTCTTGAAGTTCTGTCGGTCTTTCAATAATTGCCTCTTGTTTTTTCTTTTCCTCTACAGCACCAAGCCATTGGGGCTTACTAGCAGTGTATACAACATTTTTACCATCAGATATATCGGCGGCGATCTCCTTCTCTGTTTCTTGACTCGATATACAGTTTGCATCAACGGTACCCTGTTTCTCCATTAAGTCCTTAGGTTCTACTCTGTCTTTTTTCTTCTTTTCTGGCGGTGGCTGCTGGTGGACACTTGGTGTGATGGTTTTGGTCAAATTGGTCTTTGGTTCTTGTACTTTCAGCTCCCTCTTTTTAGCAGCCTCACCACTAGGATCAGCAATTTTTAGCAAGTAGAGTACCCTGTCCAACTCTGATTGGAGAGTGGAGAGTTCCTTATGAACCTTTTCCTTCTTCTCATGAACTGGAATCAGAAACAAAAAGTCCATGTTAAATTCTAATAAACATCTGGGAACCTGAATACAATTCATGGGATACCCATCCTTTCATTGTGAGAAATGATTCTTGCTTATTTTAATGCACCTACATAAAAATATGTAAGTGTTACTGGCGGAGAAGGTCCTGCTACTCCATCAGCAGATATGCATGTTGACAAATGAACAAAAGCTATTCAATCACATTTCTTTGTTAAATGCTAAATCATATTCCTAAATTAAGTGTGTGTGTGTGTGTGTGTGTGTGTGTGGAAGAATCACAAACTTGTCCAGAACTTAATAGTACCAATCATTAGATATGATGAACAGAAGAGACAAATAAAGGACTAGTGCATGATAAGATACCACAAGATACTCCACAAGCTTTGAAACATTTAAGTGAAATCTCAAATTTATAGGAACCTTAAAAAGAAACCTAAATAATACCTCTAATGTGATAAGACGTAAATGTTAGAAAACCAAGACAATTTCGGAGTTCACCAAAAGAAACACGCACCTAGCTGCGAGGAAAGCCCAGACATGTAAGCATCCAGTTCATCTCCAACTTCAACCTCACATTCCTGACCTGTACCATCCTTTTCATCTAGAAGCAATCTTCTCTTGTCTTCCATCTGCCTGACAATGGTATCCTTCTTATCAAGAAGAGAATCAGCTGTCTCAATTGACTGATTTTCACCACTTTTTCTCTTCGAAGGCTTCTTTGTCCGATCATAGAACTCATCCTCCTCACTGTGTGTAAAGAAATTCAAGTTCACCTTGTTAATGAGGTAGCTAGCTCTACTCGCTAATGAATATCCCAAATTAGCACTACATCCAACCTTATTTAGATCATTTCAAACAACAAGTACTGCGGAAAACGTTTACCACACAATTAAGTTTATTGAA